TCACCCCAGCCCCCACCCCTCACAGCCCTCCCACCCTGTCCCCACCCTCCAACCCAGCCCCCGCTCCCCACAGCCCTACCTGGGCTGCAGGGCCTGTCCCTCTTGCACTTGCCCTTGCTGGCCAGATCGGCACAGGACATGGGGCACGGGGCACACAGCCTGCGCACCAGGCCTGCGGGGCAGGCGGTGGCGTTGAGGCAGCCTTCCAGCTGGCAGGGCTCTGCAGAGAGAGACCGGGGAGCACGGTTAGCTCACTCACTGCCCTGGCACCAAACCCAGCCCCACCACCACAGCCCAGCCCTGGGAGCTCCAGGGGCGCGGCAGAGGTGCCACGGTGCCAGGCTGGGCTCGACCCTCTCGGGAGCCGGCTGCCAGGAGCAGCTGTTCTGGGCCATGGTGGCAGCATCGTAGGAAGCCCCCCCGCTCCCCCCCCCCCCCGACGCAGAGGGAGCTCTGGGGCCAACAGCAACGCAGAGCGGCTCTGGGGGGCCAAGGGCCCCTGACACCCACTCATGGGCAGGGTGGCCTGGGCAGCGAGGAAGGATCTAGGACAGACGGCGTCTGTGGGCTCAGGCGAGTTCCAGGCCACGGGAAAGCACAGAGAGCTGCTCCGCCCCATAGAGCCGCTCCCCAGTGTGGATGCCGGCCATGCCTGGAGCAGGGGACCCCGGCCGCGGCCCCACGGACTCACTGATCTCCAGCGTGCTAGGCGAGGCTCCGGGCAGCTCGGAGCAGTGCCTGCCCCCATTCCGGGGCGCGATGCACTCCCGGCGCCGCACCACCACCCCGCGGCAGTCCTGGGTGCAGTTCGCCCACGTCGCCCACTCGCTCCAGGCGCCGTCCACTGCAGGGCACAGAGGGGAGAGGGCAGGTGAGACCAGCCCCGCCCACGCACTGCACCAGCTGGAGTACCTCCCGTATCGCCTGCGTGGGGCTGCAGTGATTCTGGATACATCCCCTTCTGTCGCCCCGCGCCCGGCTGTACGGACACCCCTCTGTCTGCCCTGGGCCCAGCTGTACGGACACCCCTCTGTCCGCCCCGCGCCCGGCTGTACGGACACCCCTCTGTCGCCCCCAGCCCCGCCGCACCGGCAACCCCCTGGCG